GTCCCAAGGTTCCGTCCTCTGTCCGCGAGCACCTGCTGATCTCGGATCCGTCTCGTTTCTCTGCCACCTCGCGACGACACACGAACAGCTCGGATGTCCGTGAGCAATTTGTTGAGAAGCTCGTTTTCACTGTCTCGCAGGCGTTCCCGAATATCCTCCGTCGTAGTGAGATTATTTCTGCTCAGGAGGTTGCTCTGTCCCCTCTGCAGACTGCCATTGAGCGCACATGGCGCAAGACACAGGAGCTTCAGCTTATTGGGCGCCGTGCTGCGTCGGGTGAGGATTCTAGCCTGTCTAATCTGACCGAAGCCTTGGAATCATTGCTTGAGTTCAGATCGTCAAGCTCGAACTGTGTCGCATCGTACCGTGTATTCCTATCCGATGCCGAGATGGCAAGGAACAAGTTGCTTGAGCAAGTTGACGAAGACGCTGAAGGAGTACAACAATCACCGCAGCCTGTGGACCCAATGGAGACTGCGCTCTCCGTTGCACTCATCGACCACGCTCTGGCTATCAAACACGCACTGTCTCTTTACCAGCGTCCCGCTCAGCAAGCTACCCAAGCCGAACTGCTTCGACGCTTCGAAGATGTCTTCGAGCCCGAGCTAGGTTCTCTCATGCCAGCTGCCGCAGAGTACTCATCACCTACCCCGACCCAAACAGCCCGCCAATCCCCCATCTTAGGCGACAGCCGCCGAATGCCTATCCAGCAAGCTGTCAGTCCGGAAGACCCCAACCGCGCAGCCCGAGGCAATGCCCACACGCGCAAGCGCTCCGACCGACAATCCGTCAGTCACCGCATCAGCATCATCAACCCTTTCAAGCGATCCCACGGCGCCACCAGCTCCATCTTCACCATCCAGCCCTCCGACAGCAAGGGCCAAATAGTAGGTGAACATGACGAAAACATCGACGACGACACGGCCACCATCCACAGCCGCACCACCAGCCATTCCCGCGGCGGCCGAAGCGAGAAGCGCCGCAGCTTCTTCGGCGGCGACAAGACATACAAGCATGACACCTCGCCATCCGTCGCCCATGATTCCCAGACCTCCCTAAACACGCACAATGCCCCCCGTGACACGGCCCCCCGCTCCCACGACGGTCGCAGTCGCGCTGGCTCCCAGCACCGTGGCCCTACCGCCACCGGTGCCGCCACGGACCGGACTGCGCCCTCCACGGGTGGGTGGTCGACGCTCCCGTCCACGCGAGATTATTCGCGGCCAGTCACGCGCGAGAGTAATGCGGTGACTTTGACAACTACAAATGGCACGGCGCCGTTATCTCCTGTTCTCAATAATAGTAATAGTGGGATGCGGGATTCGGTATTCCGCCGTTTCAGTATGCTCAAGGGTGTCGGACGCAAGAGTAGTCGGATAGATTTTAAAGCTAACGGTGCACTTCCCGAGGAGTAATGAACCCCCCCCCCCCTCTTTGTTTATTTTTTCCTATCCTTTATACCTCTTTTTTTGTCTTGACCCTCCTTTTATTTTCTTTCATTTCTTGATGTGATTTACTACCTTACTACGATGTATTCTTTTTTATGTGGAAGCTTATCAGATCTATACCATGTGTTATATAGTTAATGTTATTTCTCACTCTTGAGGCCCGACAGAGGTAAAGTCATCATCTCCTAAACCCATCGTCCGTGCATAATCGTAGAATGTGGCAGTGCCAAATCTTGGCCTGAGCTCCAGCCAATCAAAACCTCTAATGGCTTGTAATGTGGAGTTCCCAAGGCCAGTGGGTCGTCATCTCAAAGCTCCTGACCCCACCGACTGGGCCACAATCCACCAATTGTCTCTCCACTTTCTCTTCATCCTAACATGGAAAGGCTGTGCTAACCTTGATTTCCACGGGAAAAAAAATCTCAGTCGCTAAAAGAAAGTGGCTCAATCCCCACCATTCATTCCTGAACTCTAGAAGCTTGGCATAATGTGTGAGTGATATACTACTCCCCTTCCCCTTCTTTCTTCTCATCCGCTCCTTTCCGGCTTTCACAGCCTATTCCGTTCAATGGAAATATTTCAAAACTAACTCGACAATATATCCAGCTCTCCCAAACTTCCGCTCCCACTTTCGAAGCCACACCTTCGGCCCAAGAATGAGCTCAACAAACGTCTCACTGGCCAATGAGCGAACCGGTCTCCTCGCTTCACACCGTGGCTCCTTTGATGGCATCGCACCTCACGAACACACAGAACATGGACAGCACCACCACCACGCCAAAGATAATCGTGTCTGGGTGCACTGGCCCATGCACGTCGTCCATCTAACCTGGAAAACCATCGTTCGTGACTACGTCAATGTTCTACTCATCTTCGTCCCCTTGGGCATCATTGCCGGTGCCCTCGAGTGGGACTCCACCACTGTCTTTATCCTCAATTTCTTTGCTATTGTTCCCCTTGCTTCGTTGCTCAGCTTTGCCACCGAGGAGTTGGCTGCTACGCTCGGCCAATCGCTTGGCGGTTTGATGAATGCCACTTTTGGAAATGCTGTTGAGCTGATTGTAAGTTTTGCCAAGACTCAGCCCCAGAATGGATGCCCGATGTACAGCAATGTAGCGGGTGATATATTGAATGTTGAGATGCTAATTTGCAACGCTTGATAGGTCAGCATCATTGCCCTGAGACAGAATCAGATCCGTGTCGTTCAGGCTAGTATGCTCGGTAGCATCTTGTCTAACATCCTACTCGTCCTGGGATGCTGCTTCTTCGTCGGTGGACTCCGTTATCGTGAACAGTCCTTCAACAGCACAGTCGCATCAACCATGTCTTCGCTCATGGCTGTGGCTTCGGCTTCGCTTATCATCCCCGCCACCCTCTACGCCGCGATCAAGAATACTATCGAGGATGGTACAAATAGCCATCAGGATCCTGACAAGGCTGCGCAGTCTAATATCCTCATCCTGTCACACGGCACCGCTATCATCCTGCTGATGATCTACGTCATGTACCTCTACTTCCAGCTGGTGTCTCACTCCGAACTTTTCGAAGAGTCGAATGCCAGCGATACCGAGAACATCGCCGGTACCGAGGAAGAGGAAGAAGAAGAAGAACGCATTCTCAGCCCCTGGGCTGCAGCCGTTGTCCTCGTCGTCGTGACCGTCCTCGTCTCCATCTGTGCTGATTACCTAGTCGATGCTATCGACCCCTTAGTGAAGACAACCGGTATGAGCAAGACCTTCATTGGACTAGTGCTCATCCCGATTGTGGGTAATGCCGCGGAACATGTCACCGCCGTTGTGGTTGCGTACAAGGATAAGATGGATCTTGCGATTGGCGTTGCTATTGGTAGCAGCTTGCAGATTGCGCTGTTCGTCACGCCGTTCTTGGTTATTCTTGGATGGATCATGGATATCCCGATGACACTACACTTCCAGACTTTCGAGACGGTTGCATTCTTTATTTCCGGGTTGGTGGTTACTCTGCTTATTCAGGATGGAAAGTCAAATTACCTCGAGGGTGGTATGTGTCTCGGCATGTATATCATTCTGGCATTGGCGTTCTACGTTTACCCTGATAACATTTGAATGTTGAGTTATGGCTAGGTTTTCTTTCGGTTTTTGGTTTTCGGTTTTCGGGTTGGGGCGGTTGTCGTCTCTGTGAGGCCCTTTCTTTTGTTTATTCGCCCTATTGTCTACTCTGTTTTCTTGTATTATATGCCAAATCTTGTTCATAGTACATACCTCGGTAGTCAAAATTGCATTTGTGGGTATATATCTTCGAGTCTTGGAAAGTAGGCACACATCCCAGGTTATACATGGAAAAAGTTGTTTTAACAGATTAAGCCTCGAAAAGACATCTAAACAGAATATTTGGAAAGATCACTAGAATATATCACAAGGCCGCATAAGTGGCCAACCATTCTTGTATGTTATCCAAATCGAATCACTTGATAGATTTCTATATCGACATCGAAGATCCTGTCGACAAGCTCCCCATGGCCGACGATGTCCCGGGGAAGCAATGATAACAGGAACTACAGAGTTGCATGGGCTCTACCAGAAGGTATTTGAGCAACCGCTGGTGAGGAACTCGAGCAATGCATCGAAGTCCTGGTGTCATGGAAAAGAGACCGCAAGTTCGGCATTGCCAGTCAGCTGGAAGATATTCTTGCGAAAGCAAAATATGAAGGGAAGCGGATTCCTCTAGACAATCAGATTCTGGACAGGAACCCGGCTGTGTTTGCGTCTGGGGAATCCTTCCGCGACTACCCCAGGCAGATGAACTGTTTGGACCTCGGAATGGCTGTCACCCACTTCCACATGTACCAACATGCAGAAAATATGAAGTCAGCACACTTGGTTTCTGTTACTTTATGGGATAAGCGGAAAATCTTCGCAGATTCCAGGACTTCGATATCTACCTCACGGTAGCAACGGTAAATCCTTGGGAAACCGACTTCGGATTGTTCGAGGCCGATTAACTGAGAGCGATAGAGTTTGCCCGTTAAGCCTCTGGTGGAGACTGATGATGGACACGAGAGTCACAATGTATTATTGGAATGGATACCATTATCCCTTCTCACTACAGAACTTTTCTGTATTTTACTCAAGTTTCCTTCATTTCGCATTGCTCGCTATCTTTGAGTATCTCTTGAGGATTAATTAAAGGTTTAAGCACTGTGTGGTGTCTCAACTCAAAGGATATTGGATGGGGATTGAGATTGGGACCTCGAGAGCTTGCGGAAATATATCTATGCTAAATCAGAAGTTGGAAACACCAGAATAGTCTTCTCTTCACGCATAGACCCAGGGTAGATGAATTGGAGTTTAGTTCCATCCCTTTAATCATACTTAAGATCAAATATCCATCTACATCCATGACCCTCCAATCCTGTTTCCATTGTACACTTCATGACCTCACGTCGAAATCCTTGGCGCTTACATAAGTATCCCGGAAATTTGCTCGAGACCGCAAACTTCCCAAAACAGGCCGATTAATCTCGACCTCCCCGTCTGAATAATTGCACCGGGGTCAATTCTTACAACCGCAACCATGGCGCCCCGACTCAACCTTTTCACAGCCAACAAGGCCGTCTCGGCCCTGCGCCAATCCACCACTCCCGCACTGTCTTCTCCCCGGAGCATCGCCAGCCCCGTCCGATTCCGCGCCGTCCAGTCACTACCCATTCAGCGCCGATGGAACTCCTCCGATGGCCCCAAGAAGGTCGAGCCCCAGCCTGACGAGCAGACTTTCCCGACTGTCGATCAGCTGCCCGATGTTACCGAGGAGGCCAACGAGATCTCCCGAATTATGGATAAGGAAAAGCGCTGTGATGGTATTCCTTCTACTCCGGAGTTGGATCAGGGATCGCCTGTTGAGGAGGTGAGCAATTATACATAATCCGAGGCATTGCTAGGTCTTGGATGGAAGGCCGACATCGGATATGGTTGTTAACTGTGTTTGGAACAGATCCTCAGCCGCGATAAGGACGCCATGAAGCACATGCCGAAGGTTATGCGGGATGCATTGAAGAAGTCTGGTGGCTCGCGCTCATTCTCGACTTCCGCCCGGAGCCTTATGAATGATTTGCAGGGTGTTACGCCCAACAACGAGTCTAACCTTATTCCTAGTATGCCTGGACTCGAGGGCGCTAGTGATGAGGCGACTGCTGCTCTTGCTAGCATGATTGAGCAGGTGCAGGGCCAGGCTCTTGAGGAGAACCCTGGACTTAAGTTTGATGCGCCTGTCGTTCCCGAGGATCTTAAGACCTTGAACTTCCGCAAGCGCTACGATACCATGCAGGATCAGTTCACTAAGATGATGATGGAGAGTGGGAAATTGACCAAGGCCCAGAAGGTATGCTTTTCTTTTTTCCCGTTTATCTTTGGTGTGGGTGTGGGAAAGTTGACTAACTGAATACTTAGAATATGTCTCTCGTTCTGGATCACCTCCGCACCTCCTCTCCTCCTCAGATCAACCCCCGTCGCCGTCTCCTCGGTGCTCCCCCTGCATCCCAGCTCCCCCTCGACCCCGTCCTCTACCTCACCCTCGTCGTCGACTCCGTGGCGCCTCTCTTCCGAATCCGTCAGCAGAAGGGTATTGCTGGTGGTGGTACTGCCGTGCAGATCCCCCACCCGCTGACTCTGCGCCAGCGCCGCCGTACCGCGATCAAGTGGATTATTGATGCGTCGGAAAAGCGACGCGATGCGCTGTTTGCGAACCGTGTTGCGGCTGAGGTCGTGGCTGTTGCCGAGGGTCGTAGCGGTGTCTGGGAGAAGAGGGACCAGCAGCACAAGATTGGTATCTCTGGTCGTGCGAACTTGAATACTAACGTTCGTCGCTGAGTTGGCCTTCTTGGCTTGTATTTCTTCTACCTGGGGTTTGGGGTTTGTCTTGTATCTCTGAGCACTTCTGCATATGTACATTTATATAGTCTGGTCAAAAAAAATTGACATTTATTCTTCATGGGCTTATTGATTCTCCGAATTGCACAACTACACAAAGTCACCCCTGAGGTTTTACGTATGCGAATTTTTCATGTGGCTTGGGATCTCTTGGTATCATTTTATTTCCTTATATAAGAATGGCTTACTCCCTAGTCTACATTTTCTATTACAGGCCCCTTGCCCTGAAACTTACCCTGTATGTCAATTGCTATACTCCATCACCTGCATATAACCTTGTTCTCTGTGCTCTCGTGCTTTGTATAGAACATTGTCTAATAGGCCCCCGGTTCTCGGCCCTCACACTACGCTTACCTAATTACAGCTTAGCTCCAACAGCGCAACTGTTCCTGAAGTCGAAGAAGAAAAAAGCCCCCAAGACATTCAATACTTTACATATTTACAGTCTTGGGTAGACTCCAACCAGATATACAATACAACCTCGATCAGTGGAGCGTCGCGTTATATCATTACCGACTCGACTATTGCCCAGTGCAACCCAAGCTGCAGCTGACCCGGACTTTTCGGCCCTCTTCGCGCCCCCCCCCACCACAATAGAGCCCACTACACTCCCTTCGGCCTTGCCTCTCTCTATATTGACCTAGGCCGACTACCCTCCGGCCTCCTTCATTGACGGTGGCTCCTACGTTGCGCGACGATTCCATTGAACTTGTCGACTACCACCCTACCACCCACACAGCAACCACCAGCGCATCTGGCCGCACTCATTCAGACGAATATCAAGGTAGCGATAGGCGGTTGGACCCTGCCGCCAATTCGCCGCTGGGCTTTGATACCGGTTTTCGAGAATCGCAGGAGGGATTAGAGCTTGACGAGCTTCGCCCTGAGGGCTCTCGTCTTAGGTTCTGGGCTGAGGCTCTCCGACGTCGCGCTTATAACGCATCGCACGGGATCGTCGATCCGGATTCCGAAAAGATGAAGTTCTCGCATAGTGTGCAGTTCAATGCTGTGCCCGATTGGAGCTCGAATTATATCGCGTATAGCAATTTGAAGAAATTGTAAGTTGGCTTGTTCAACCGTCGGGTTGTGACTGGTGATTCGGAAATCGGAATTGGTGTCACATTGCACAAGATCGTTGCGTGACTGACCGGGTCGGATAACTGTTTTGATTATTGTGCTAACGTTGCATCGTGACCAGGATCTACACCCTTGAGAAACAGGTCAATCGCATTGATGGACCGTCCGCCACAGATGTAGAGGCCGCTCCGCTGCTGGGTGGTATTGAACCGAGTAACCCGGATGCAATCTTTAAGCGGGCTCTTGACGTTGAGATGGATAAGATCTGTTCTTTCTATAAGAAGAAGGAGGCGGAGATTTTTGAACTCGCGGATGAGCTCATCAAAGACGCTGATGTATATCTTTCCGAGACAGACGGTGTCAATATGGACCCCGTCAGCGAGACAATAATCAAGGCAAGCTCCCGTCGCGGAAACGGTAATTCCTCGATCCCGCATCGGCGGCCTAGTGCTATGAGCAATGACTCGATGGCGGATGATGAAAGAGAAGGCGGTGATAGCGATGACGACCGGTCCCCGACAATCCTCCCACAGCGCCGGAGATTGCTGCAGTCTACCGATGGTGAGTCTGGCACGGACGACCAGCATGGCGATATGGCAGACTCCTACTTTGGACCGATGACTACCAGAGAACAGCACGAGTCGCACTTCAACGACGAGGATTTCCTCGCTCTTTACAATACCGGTATCTCGCTGAAGAAGCGCCTGATCGAATGTTATGTCTCACTCTGCGAACTCCGCTCCTTCATCGAGCTGAACAAGACTGGCTTCTCCAAGGCCCTGAAGAAATATGACAAAACCTTGGACCGCAGCCTGCGTCGAGACTACCTAGCCACTGTTGTTCATACCGCAGCACCTTTCACCGACAGCACCATGGCTGCCATCGATCAGCATATTGACAACGTGGAGGGTGTGTATGCGGGCATTGTCACGAAGAACAACAAGCAGTTTGCTAGACGCGAGCTGCGTCTGCATCTGCGTGAGCATGTTGTCTGGGAGCGGAACACCGTCTGGCGTGAGATGATCGAGATCGAACGTCGTGCACAGGCTGCCAATGTTGGTATTCGTCGGACCCTACTGGGCGGTGATGAGGACCCGGCCACTGCACGGCGCCAGGGTGACAAGAATGAGATTCGCACCCAGGAGGTATCAACGCCGCTGGGTCGGTTCCAATTCCCGTCGTGGCTCTGCAGCTTGAGCTTTGGTACGCTCATATTTAGTATCGCCATCTTCGGCACGATGCTTTCCGTTAACATAATGGATACTCCCGAGGAGCAAAACTGCTTGGCTATGTTGGTCCTCGTTAGTATTCTGTGGGCCACTGAGGTAAGAGATGATTGTTCGTTTATTTGCTCACATTGAATGCTAACGTTGAGTGATAAGGCTATTCCGCTGTTCGTTACTTCGCTTCTTATCCCATTCCTGGTCGTGACTCTAGGCATCATGCGGTCAGACGATGAGGCTCAGACGCGGCTGGGACCCAAGGAATCAGTCGGCAAGGTATTCGCGGCGATGTGGACTCCTGTGATTATGCTGCTCCTAGGTGGCTTCTCAATCGCAGCGGCGCTGTCCAAGTACGATATCGCACGGCGCATGGCCATGTTCGTGCTCAGCAAAGCCGGATCGAAGCCATCTGTAGTGCTATTGACCAACATGTTTGTGAGCATGTTCCTGAGCATGTGGATCAGTAACGTTGCATCTCCCGTGCTCTGCTACTCGATCATCCAGCCTTTGCTGCGCAACATGCCTCCCGAGTCCAACTTTGCCAAGGCACTCGTGCTGGGTATCGCATTAGCCGCCAATGTCGGCGGTGCCGCGTCCCCGATTGCCTCTCCCCAAAACATCATCGCCCTGCAGAACATGGACCCCAACATCAGCTGGGGCACATGGTTCTTCATCGCACTCCCCGTCTGCATCATCTCCATTCTCCTCATTTGGGTTCTGCTGCTGGTGACATTCCGTCCGGGCCGCAACACAACCGTCATGGCCTTCCGCCCCGTCAAGGACCGCTGGACCGGCATGCAGTCCTTCATCGCCATCGTCACCGTCCTGACAATCATCCTGTGGTGCACCAGCCACCAACTCGAACACATCTTCGGCGACATGGGCGTCATCGCCATCATCCCTCTCGTCCTCTTCTTCGGCACTGGTATCCTCAACAAAGAAGACTTCAACAACTTCCTCTGGACAATCATCATCCTCGCAGCCGGTGGTCTGTGTCTGGGCAAGGCCGTCACCTCATCTGGCTTGCTGCACACAATCGCCATGGGAATCACCGCCCGCGTCGAGAACCTCAGTCTGTACAGCGTCCTAATCGTCTTCTGTTCTCTCATCCTTGTCATGGCCACCTTCATCTCGCACACCGTTGCCGCCCTCATCATCCTGCCGCTTGTCCGCCAGATCGGAGTTAGCATGGAGGACCCTCACCCCAACTTGTTGGTCATGGCCAGTGCCTTGATGTGCTCTGTCGCCATGGCTTTGCCTACCAGTGGATTCCCTAATATGAGTATGTTCTTCTTCCTTTAGCTTGTGTTGAGCTCTCTGCTAACATGTTTCTCTTAGCTGCTATCATGACCGAAGTACCCACCACAGGCCAGCGATACCTTCAAGTCCGCCATTTCCTCACTCGCGGTATCCCGGCCAGTCTTATGGCCTTTGTGGTGATTGTTACGCTTGGATATGGACTGATGTATGTTGCGGGGCTGTAGGTATGAAGTGGTCTCGTGACACCGAAGGAGGTTGCAGTTTTTGGTTAGATTGGTTTATATACGCAAAGAAAGAGTGAACATATATGAAATGTATGAATCTTGTGTTTGGGACTTACTCTTTTTTTCTTGTCTGTCTTCATTCTTTTGTATTTATTTTTCTTTGCGGGTTTTCTGGGATTGGATTTTTTGCACAAATGATAATAGATAGTTGGGCTATCCATAGTATTCATTGCATATATTTTCATTCTTGAATCAAGTATGGGGATAGTTACACCTGTCCGACTTGATCGAGACTTGTCAGCCAATCCCAAACGATGTACACCTGCATGACGTCTAAGATTTGATATTATGTGTAAGGTGTTGACTGCATAGGTCGTAGGTACTTACAATGTAGGTACTTACAATCTACGCATGGAAGAGAAATAACACAAAAGCCTGTTCATTATTCCAATTCTCCTAACCCAGATACTTTATAAGAAAGGCTAAAGTACTGTACACCGTAAAGACTCCTCAAGACCAGATCTAGAGAGATGGCCTAGCAAAAACAAAAACAAAAAAACAAAAAAGGAGATAGACATGAAAAATAAAAACCCATGCATGTATCAACGTAACATAACCCATAACAAGTCATTCAAGGTACCCGTAGACACACCAGACCCAACCGGGATCCGGGTATTCGAGAGCCGGTATAGAAGGTATATAGATACACTTTTCTATTTTCTGAGGATTAATTACTAGATTGTCAGTCAGTGAAATGCACCAACAAAATCTCGTTATCGTCACGGGGAAGGGCTGGGTTAGAAGGTAAGAAAAAGGGGATACTAACAGCAAACCAATCGTCAAATCACCATGAATCTTCGCCTTGAGCTGAACCTCAATATCCAGATTAAGGTCCAATCTCAAACGAAGCTGCTCATCCCGACCACCATCGTCATCCTTCTTCTCTTCACCGCCATTCAGAATGCCACCAACAGCCTTGCCCGCACTACCAGTCACCCCATTTAGGGCATTGCCGGCTGTATTCTGCACGAGCTGGCCGGCCTGATCGACACCACCGACACCGGGAAGTCCGCCAAGCGGGCCGTTTTGTTGCTGTTGCTCTGGACGACGCTGGCGACGGACGCGACGTTGTCTGGGTGGTTCTGGCTCCATTTCGCGGGGAACGGATTCAGTGTCTGATTCTTGAGGACGGGGACGAGGTCTGCGACGACGTCTTTCGGGCTTGGGTTGAGGTTCGGGTTCAGGTTCTTCTTCTTCTTCTTCTTGTTCGGGTTCAGGCTCAGGCTCCGAATCCGGTTCTTGTTGTTTAGGCTTTTCTTCTTCTTGCTCGGTGTCTTTGCGTTGATCCTCTTGTTCCGAGGCTGGAGGGGTTTGTTCTTGTTTGGCGGGAGACTTTTTGCCTAACTTGGGAGGGGCACGTTTAGGCTTGTTTGGGGTTGTAGTTGTTGAGTCGGGATTAGGAGTGGGAGGTTGTTCTTGGTCGGACATGTTGGAAAGTAGAAGGCTGTTTAAAGGTGGGATAGGAGGGGAATATGAATGGTTTTGAAATGAAGGACAAAGCGTCACAAGGTATAAATTAACTAATTGCAATGATGTAGATTCCGAAATGAACACCGTTTATATCATCAGATGCGCCACCAGGCTTTGATAAAACTGGGCCTGATAATCTGATCCCGCCTCCGACGTCAGATGGGAAGACTTCGGGCCAGGTCCATCGGCGCCAGACGGGGACCCTTTCTGGTGCAGTATACTCTGTAAGTGCATATAATCCAGTTAAAAACAGGTATGACGTCTGGGGGACAAGGACTCAGCCTACGGACCAATTGGACTGGATTTCGGGGCATTAGTACATCGACAGACTCCACTCAAATAAATTAAAGTAGACGTAAGATTTCATCTCAGGAAATAGTTATGACGCCAGACGTGTAAATACAATCCATTTCAGCCATACAGATGCCAAACCGATTTACCTGTTCCTAACTTTTCCCGGTTTTTTTCAATTTTCATTTCCATTGGTACAAGCCACGAGTTGGCTGTTTCCACGGATCGGAGAGTCCAGTTGGCCACTTGGCGTCTGGACTTTGCATTGTGGACACGGCCATTGTGGTCTGGTGTATATTATTCAATCGGGCAATGACGAAATGGAAAGGAACAGCCTCCAACGTCATGTTCCATTGATATAATGTTGTGTATATTCTTTTACTTTTTATCATCAGTATCTCCTACTTTTATACATTTTTCTTCTTGGAAATATCCTACCTCTATACTCTATAATCTAGTCCATCATACATCAATATGGCGACCGTTGAAAAGACCAGAGAGCAACCCAAGAAGCTCCAGCCCAAGAAGCTCCCCGTGCAAGAGGATCTCTCCGACGGCGAAGACTACGACAGCGCTGATGACTACACCGACGATTCCGAATTCGAAGACGAAGTACCAACCAAGAACCAAAAGGGCAAACTGCCCAGCAAACAACTGCAGAAACAAAAACCCGTTCAACAATACGATTCAGACGAATACACAGATGGATCGGAATATGACGAAGACGATTACGAATACTCCGACGACGAAGCCCTGCAGCCTTACTCGAACGAAAACTCAAACTTCAAGCCCAACGGCGGCATGGATGTCCTCAAGAAAGAGGAGAAATCCATGCTGGACGAGGAAGGCATGAAGTTGCGATTGGAACTCAATCTGGAAATCGAGGTCGAGCTCAAAGCACGCATCCACGGTGACCTCACTCTAGCTCTAATGTAAGTACTAACTGAGGCATGCAATCCCCCCCCACAAAACCCTTTGATGAATGTCTGCTCAAAGACCGAATTAGGAGTTGATCGCGTTCTATCAACAACAGGGCTTGATCACCCATTTCTCCTTTCCGCCATATCACGAAGATCCAACGTCGTCACGAGTGATCCTTTTCAATACTTTTTGCTTTGATGCTTTTCATAGAGCCATGTTTTTGATTTAATATCCTTCCATTTATCGGTTTTTTTTTTTGCAATGGTTTTCCTGGTCGGCGTGCAGGGCCAAGGGGATGAAATACATCGGAGAGTGTATATATACTGCTATGTATATTCCTTGGGCAATCGAACGGAGTTGAATTCAATTTTCAATTTTCAAGTGCAACAGTGCAGAACGGTAATGTGGTAGTAGTAGTAGTATATAGGGTAGTGTAAGTGCCAAAGTGTCAGACATGGGCGGAAAGCATGAAGCCGAGGCACCGGTCTTGGCACTGATTTCCCGCTGTGTTACCAACTCCCCTCTCGCATTGTATTCTGTACTCGGTTCAAATCCCAACTGTTTCACTTGTTTCGCACAAACCTCAATTGACGCTGTACACTCTCAATACAGCTGAACCGCCACAATGTCGTCCAAAGACTTCATCATCAAGCATATGAATGCCGACCACCAAGATTCCCTCGCGCTATTCCTACAAGCCTACTGCGGTATCACATCCACCCAAGCCAAAAACGCCCAATTGGAAGAACTCACCACCTCAAATCTGATCGTCACCGCCCACGGTACCCGCTACAGCGTCCCCATTGAACCCGAAATGAAGAACTTCTCGGAGGCACGCGGCCGAATGGTCGCCATGCACAAGGACAGCCTAAAGCGTCTGGGCCGCAGTGAGATCACACTCACAGAGTACCGTGCCCCGCGCGGCATCCATGCCGTGATCTTCGGCCTGTGTTTCCTTCTCTACGTCACCTGCTTCCAGCGCAACAATCTGCACCCCGGTTCGGCTCTTTACGAATACTTGGGACTCCAACGTGTGCCCTGGCTCCCGCGTTTCGTCTACATTATCCAGCCATACGTTATAGCTATTCATGTCTTTGAGACTGTCGCGCTGGCTGTGACTATGTTGAAGCCGTTGAATGTGCCTGTTCTGTCGGGTTTGTGGTGGAAGTGGATTGCGTCGTGTTCTGTGGAGGGGTACGGATCGCTTGCGCGCATCAAGGAGTTTGTGAAGGAGCAGAAGGCGAAGAATGGCAAGAAACAGTAGAGGGTAGCATAGGCAGTCAATGGTGGGTGCACGGGCAGAGAGAGAGTCGATCAATTGTATATTTATGGATTTTGGATAGTGGCAAGGATAATTGGAAATAGACAATGGGAGGTTGAACGTTGTACAATGTAAATGGCTTGTTCAGATCGTCTCCGATGGCCCCTTCCAGATCGTAATCAATGGCACAACACGTGACTGCATTCTGAGTCAGCAAATAAACATCACCTGACCAGATCCAGTGACTGGAGCCACTAATCCAAATATGGTCTAGTGTCAGTTAGGGCACTACACAAGCGAGCGACACAGTGCGCCCTGCGAAATTCAGCGACTCCACGACCTCAAACTCCCACGACAACCCTACGACAACTAATTTGTGTTTCTGGTGAAGGGCTGCACATTTAGAGGTGAGTTATCCGGCTATCTCAACTCCTGCAAGGTTTCTTTCGAAAAATTCTGTTTCGCTCGCTGCGCCCATCAATTTCGATCATCGGTATTCAATTCCTCCACATCAACCATCGATCCTGTCTCGCATTCAACGGTCATTCAACCACTTCGCAACCACTTTCGCCCAACTGTTCAATACTCGAAGATTGATTTTGTACGACGCTCGCGACGAAACAGAAGGATTGAAAGGAAAAAAAAGAAACTTTGCTCAAGGTCCACAATCAACAACATCTAACTTGTGTCCGTCAACTTAGACCCCTCCATCAATCGCAAACATGGGTATTTCTCGGGATTCTCGCCACAAGCGCAGCGCCACTGGTGCCAAGCGCTCTCACTACCGCAAGAAGAGGTACGATTCCATCAACCCAGCATGATATTGAATATTTTCCTTTTGGAGGAAGAAGAAGGAAGAAAATGGATTCGATATACCAGTTACAGTTTCTTACATGTCTTCGTCCTACAGAGCCTTCGAGAAGGGTCGTCAGCCCGCCAACACCCGTATTGGCACCAAGCGCATCCACCTTGTCCGCACCCGTGGTGGCAACCAGAAGTTCCGTGGTCTCCGTCTTGACTCCGGTAACTTCTCGTGGGGCTCTGAGGGTATCTCCCGCAAGACCCGTGTCATTGGAGTGTCCTTCCACCCCTCCAACAACGAGCTGGTCCGCACAAACACCCTGACCAAGTCTGCCGTTGTCCAGATTGACGCTGCTCCCTTCCGTCAGTGGTACGAGGCCCACTACGGCCAGTCCATCGGCCGTAGACGCCAGCAGAAGACCGAGGGTGCCGAGGAGGAGAAGAAGTCCGCCTCCGTCGCCAAGAAGCAGGCTGCCCGCTTCGCTGACTCCGGTAAGACCGAGTCTGCTATCGAGCGCCAGTTCGAGTCCGGTCGTCTTTTCGCCGTTGTTGCCTCGCGCCCCGGCCAGTCCGGCCGCTGTGACGGTTACATTCTGGAGGGTGAGGAGCTTGCTTTCTACCAGAAGGCTATCCGCAAGTAAACGAAAAAATAAAATATTCGGTTGTTGCAACGGGTGGATCGGAGTTTCAGCTATGTCATGATCAGAGCATCCACAGGATGCAATTTGTCTGTAGAGCTCTGAGCCGTCAAATCCATGGGAATTGAATTGTTCCTAGTTTCATGTATTCTTTTGGTAGCATTCTGCGTACTACGTAGTGTATAAGTATCTACCATGTGGAATTCGGTCGGCATGGAGTATAGATGATTGACATGGGGATACAAGTACCATGTAGTAAACCCAGGAGAACGTGTTTCAATAAATTATTTTATAAAACATATCAATATTCCTTTTCAGCATCAAATTTTACGCTGAAAGATCTCCGGGGGTTCTTCCCGTGTCCGAGCTCGATGCTTATCAGTCTCTCTCCCCCACAGCCCAACCTTCCTCAAACACCCAACATGGCATCCATCAAAACCCGCATCTGCATGATCTCAGACACTCATACAAGCACACCACACCCACCCCAAAGAACAGACCATGCCTACCGCTACCCCCTCCCAGAAGCAAACATCCTCCTTCACGCCGGCGACCTCACAAAAGTGGGGTACCGCGTCGAACACGAAGCAATGATCTCCATGCTCACCTCCGCCTCCGCCGAACTCAAACTCGTAATAGCAGGAAACCACGACATAACCCTCGACGAGGACTACTTCACTTCCTTCGGCTACACCCGCCACCAACGCCCAGAACAACTAGGCGAACAATCCATCCTGTTATCAGACGATGATGACCTCCAAAACACCCTCCGTACCCCAACCCCAAATAAAGAATCCCTAAAAGCCTATGCCGCCTCTATTAAATCCCTCTGGACAAGCGAAGAAGCCCGAAAAGCAGGAATAATCTACCTAGAAGAAGGAACTCACTCCTTCACACTCTCAACAGGAGCATCATTCACCATCTACGCTTCGCCCTACCAACCAGAATTTTACAATTGGGCTTTCGCATACCCCCGCGACGAGGATAGATACAACCCCGCCCCAGCTACACACCCACAGCCCGAAAACCCAATCCCGGATTACCCTACCATCGACATAATGTTAACCCATGGCCCGCCCGTCGGAGTCCTGGATCAGGTCCCGCCTGATCTGAATGTCGGCTGTGAACATCTTCTCCGCGCCGTGCGGCGTGCAAAGCCGCGTTTGCATCTCTTCGGTCATATTCATGAAGGATGGGGTGCACAGCGGGGGGTGTGGGATGATGAGGTGGGTAGTGGTGTTAGGCTCGAAGATGTGTCCAGGGATGCGGAGGAGATGTTGGAGAATCGGGGGGCGTTTTGTGATGTTAGTGCTGGGGCGGAGAGGCCGTTGAGGGTTGGGGAGGAGACGCTTTTTGTTAATGGGAGTATTATGACGGTCAATTATGAAGCGAGGAATGCGCCGTGGGTGGTGGATTTGGAGCTTCCGGTTGTTGGGGGATAGGTTTGGTAGTATATTGTGAGATTCTCTGATGGGGTTACTGGATATAGTATGGTGCTGGGTAACTGTGGGTAAATTATTGCATTGATAGCAGATGCTAATGAGGGAAAGAGGTGAGAGATAGGAGTTTGATGTGTGACGTCTATTTCGGGGTTTGTCTTGTGAATTTTCGAATATATATATCATAAAGGGCTAGAGTGTTATAAAATACAAGTCTGATATAAGAATAAATGTTGAATATTTAGGGAGATAGAAAGCATTGTGTGGATATATGTTTACAGGCTAGGATAAATATGTACGTAAAAAGAACCAACGATTGAGCAGTGCAAGGTAGATCGATACTATCATAGTGTCATATCGCTATATATACGCCGCATAGCGAAGGAAATAGCTACAAACCGAGCCACAGTAAGACTGTCCGAGAAACAGAAAAGCAAATGTGTACAGTTCAAGTCCTTGTTTAGATATTTCTACTATACATAACCAGTCAATTGGATACGGGCTACATGGTCACAGTATGATAATATATTTTGAATACTCCATCTGATGAGAAAAGGGGTAGTAGGTTTACATATAAAGTAAAGGGAATTTTAGAGATCAAAATAAGTAGGCAACCACGTCAAAACCCGAGAATAGTTACATAGATGTGTATAACTATCGGGCCAAAGGCATTCAGACATCATTTAGGTACATGCAACCCTGAGCGTTATGCCCCTTCGTAAACAGGCAATTCATAGATCCGTTAAATAAATCAAATCATAAGGCCAAAAGAATAAACATAAAACAAAATAACCTCCAGCTCCATCTCATCAAAAAGACCCAAATCCCCTAAGCACCACCAAGACCTAGTATATTCATTAGCTCCTGCAAGACATTAAAGCCTACTAAGAGACTCACCAGCAGCAAATGCCAAGTACCAAGTACGCGTAGCACCACCATCGATCCAACTGTAGTTGAAATTCGGCTGGGCAAAGAACTCCCACGACGCTTTGGGATCGATGAGGGCTAGGTTGGCATATAACACGCCCTTCCATCCGCCGTCGACCTTGGAGGCCGGTGTTGAGGCGTGCTCAGCGAACATTGCCTGCCATTCCTGCCGCACGAACTCCTTTCGTCGGGTCAAGGGGGAGTGTGGCATGAGTGGTAGCATGTGGATACTATGGTATTTGTTAGCAATGTTCAGCGTGGACTGATATGAACGGGACGGTGGTATACATACCCTTGGACGAATTCGAGGTTGGCACCGAAGTATGTGGTGTGATCGACCTTGTTCTCGAATAGCTGTTTTGGTTTGTTAGTTTCGAGCTTGGGGTAGACATGAAATGGAAAAAGATGATACTTACAATTCCAGTGACTTTGTTCGCGATAAACTTCGATGGGTGGTTCACATTGTCATCCTGCATCAAGAAGTAGTTATTGAGAGATCGGCCCAGGATGCTTAGCATCATGTTGCCACGGGCTTCCATGCTGGCATCGCCGGTTGTCTGTCCCCACATCTTGATGGCATAAGCGAACATGGTATCTTCCGACGTAGATTCTTGATCCTTGCCATCGAAAGATTCGAACAGACCCTTCGCCCAGGAGTGTCCGTTATACCAATCGAACGAGCGGGAGAATGGGAAGTGGGGATCATTGGCAACAGAGTTACCAGCATCACGAACAAGCATGTTAACCCACTCTTTGTTTGCGGCCAGCCAGTTCGGATCAAGAGCGCCGATGATGGCGGCTGCTTGGACAAAGTAGCCATAGTGGAAGTGGTGGTCATTGTATGCGGTGTTTCCGAAGTCCTGGTTCAGGTCCCCGTTATAGCCGGCGGTCGAAACGACGCCCTTCCAGACAGTGTCGTAGGCAAGCGGGTTCTCTTGCTTGTTCTGCACGAACAGATCGAAAGCCTTCTTTAGCTTCTGGAAGGCATCTGTTGCGATCTCGACGTTGTTACCGAGCTGGTTAACCGTGTACACTAACGTTGCGAACTTGCTCAACGCCTTGCCGCTGTAGTACATGCTGTTGAGAGCAGTCTGTTCTGCTATATTCTGCTTGAGCTCAGTGGGAGCAGCCTGGATAATGGCATGCTGGGCTGTGGCCGAGAGGTCATGGATACTGCCATGCGTGGTTGACCAAGGGGCGAATCCCATATCGATGGGAAGATTTTCTTCGACCATAGTCCAGCTTTCACCGATCACGGCAGTGGCATTGCCCTTTGTTGTGGTGCGAAGGTGGATATCGGTGATACGGCCCTTGGTGGCGCTGTCGAAGGACTGGACGTGATGGGGCAGGGCGAACATGATCAGAGGTGTACCCTTGACATCCTTTCCGGCCTTGGCCCAAGAGAGCATGTAGTTGCCCACATCACCTGTGACAGAGCCAGAGACCTCTCCTGACACCGGGTAGACGCCACATGAGTTATCGTAGAACTTCTCGCCAGACTTGCCTGCGGGGTTCTTCGCGGCTTGGATAGTACCAGAAAAGCCCTTGGGACCGCGGATATTGGTCTTTGAGTCTAGCTTGAAGTTTGGATCTTTGCCATCTGCCGGAGTGGCATAGAGAAGCCAGGTCGTATCATCCTCAAGGTCAACCTGGTACTTGAAGATACCGGGCCTAGGTGAACCGGCGCTGACGACCTTGCGGAAGAAAATACCACTTTCAATCAGAGGCTGCAGGTCTTTGTACACAGCTGTTGTATAGCCCATGCCTTGTACAATGGGGAAGGTGATCTGCTGAGCCGAGCCTTTGGAGCGCTTGATCACAGCGTGGGCCGAGAAAACCTTTGGCTGCTCAACGGTCATGATGGAAGACTGGTCAAGCTCAGCCGCTGAGAAAACCAGATGTTGAAGGCCCCCTGGATTGACGTAGTACTGCACTGGGTTTCCGGGGATCTTGTTGTTCTCAGGTCCGTACGCGAGCATGTGAGGCTGGGCATGGGTGATAGTCATACCCCAGCTCTTCAGTGTGCCGCCTCCCTTGGACCATGCCAGAGAGTAGGGCTGGGAGAACGTAGCATTGCTCTGGGAGCCTAGGAAAAGGCCGGCATAGAACTTATTCGTCGCAATAGGGTCAGTGGTATCAGCCTATACAATGTTAGAGTTTTTGATTTCTATTGTGCTCGCAGTTGGAATTGTCCTACGTGCTGGTTCTGCACAGGGTGGTCATGTCGAGACTGGATATTAGCAGGGACCGGGCCACTGGCCACTGGCTGGAAGATATCTTGGCCGTTCATGGCTTTGGGATGATCTGCTCCAATCGTGGGCGAAATATTTGTGTGAACGGCCTCTACTAAGCATTAGCATATATGCAAAGGGCTATAATGATTCAAATTAAATCATACCTTGCGTCTTTGTAGTGCTTGGCTTGGTCTGCGGCGAGGTTGTCACAGATCCAGCTGTAGGAACTGGCGCTGGGTCTTCAGGCTGTTTTGCTGAAGTTGTCGCTTGGATAGGATCCGGTTTGTCTGTATCAGTAGACGTAGACTGTCCTGTTGCAGTCAGTGCTGGTTCCGTAGTAGTCTCACCTTCTTCGTCCAACAAATCTTCCAAGCCGTCAATGAAATCGTCAATGTCAAGCTGTGGAAAAGGAAATTCTGATGAATGTCCGTCTTGTTCCAAAGCTACTCGATACACCTAGTCCAAAATGTCAATACCATGTCATATACCATGCAGCATAGTTTTCTGAGTCTTACTGGGTGGGACTCGGGAATGAGAACCCTGCTTTCACTGTTTGAAGGTGGATATTGAGTCTGAAAGGCTCTTGCTGGCTCGGTAGCTGTGTTTCGTAGAGCAGCTTCTACCTCATTTCCCACACGTGGGAGACAGTGGGCTATTTCTGTAGTTAGAAGCCATGTCAGCAACGCTGTAGCCTTCCATTTCGAGCGTGAGTCCATGATGAAAAGTCAGATCCTGTCACGAGTGTTCAACACGCGGAGCTTGTAGGAAGTCTGTGTGCTATTCAATCCAATGCAATTGGATATGAATCACTTAAGAGCAGACGACTTTGGAGGGGTCCAAAAGGTAACGTGAAATTGGCAAAGAAGACAGGTGACTTCAGAGGAAAGCAAACCTACAAGTATGTAGTATGGATTCTGGAGATGGGCACACTTATTTCCAAATTGGGGCAACACACGGGGCTGGTTTGTTGTGAATGATCTGGAGACAGATTCCACAGACTGTCGATCTTCCTAATATCAGCAGTGCGCAGTGTTTAATCAATGAGAATGACAGGTGCCGGGTAACGTGTCGGGCTCAAGAATGTAGGGGCACAACGTCGAGTCCACGCGGGTATCGAGGTGAGATTGTTTTCCCCCAAGAATGTGTGCGGGAATCACCAACCACCTACTGGATTATACGGGGGTTACCCAGGTGATTGGAACAATTAGGAGATATATGTGAATACTAGACTTGGAAGTTGAAGATATCAAATCCAGGCAGCACCGCCAAGGGATCGTCTATGTGGAGTAGAAGATGGAAAGGGAAAGAAAACATGAATATATTCAGATTCAAAGACCTCCAAGATGACTCAATCTCAATCATCAGATAATCTATGGATACTTTTTGCCCTTATGGAATCATGGGACATTTTTGAATGATTTGAGGTGTAAGTTAACATCCCAAGCCGAGACCTGTACATTGTCCAGGTAACATATTACTATAGTTGAAAAACTCCATGTGTAAATATGGCTGTGAAGTGACAAGTATGAAGGATTTGATTCGGACTATATGAAATATATTGTGCTACCTGTACAGCAAGAATAGAAATGCTTTTAATTCAAAAGGCGCCACAAAATGGGTCGCATTAGGTGCTATCATTGGACATGGACATGCTATATGTGAAATACATATTGACCAAATATTTACATTTATTGCATGGGCTTCGACATGGGCTTGATAATGCCCTGCTTGATCATGACACGAGGCTTGGTGCCACTCTGGAAGCTTTCTTTTGTAGACCATTCGGGGCCTAGGGGCAACCGCAGGGATCGTTCGTACTGCTGCTTCGTCTCGAATTCATGAGGCAACTGGCTTGCCATGTACTTCTTGTTCTAGAGTAGAAAGTTAGTGGTTCATCTTTGTGTAGGAAAACTAGACTTGGCTTACCTTCTGGACTCGCTTCTGGTTGATAATGACCCGATCGAGCTTTGCGTCCTTGCGCTGCCCGGGCTTCACACCCGCAACAGTAGTCAGGTCTCGCTTTTGCTTCTTTTGCTGTCTCTTGCTGACACCTTCACCGGCCCAGCTGCCCCAGCCTGCGAGTGTGTTGTCCACAACCTTGTCGCCTTCGTCTTCAATAGTGTCCATCTTATCCTGTTCGAATTCTTGGACAACTTCATCGCCTGCAAAGGCTCTCTTCACGAGGTCGTGGTTCTTAAGCAAGACGGGCACCTTCTCTTCATCATCGCTGTCATCCTCGTCGAATTGCCGTTTGGCAACGGTTGCCTTGGCGTTCTTTTGCTTCTTGCTCTGTTGCTTCACCGGAACAGCCTCGGGCTGGGCAGCATCGAGTGAAATGTCAATGCTCTCTTGGGCATCTGGGGCAGTTCGGCGACGGTTGGTCCGTTCGGTTTGAACCAACCAAGGGTTCTCCTCCTCCGTGGGGGTATCCTTTTGCTGATCGGGAGAGTCGCGTGAAGATTGTGAAAGCTTCTTGTTGCCAGAAGCTCCTGACTTGTGCTTGGTGGAACCGTTGACAACAATGTCAACATCATCGTCTGATACTGCCTGTGCAGCTTCATCATCGGAATCTAGCTTCTCCTCAAATTCATTCTTGGGCAACGGCTTTGCGCGAGACTTAGGGTCGGTCTTCTTTGATTGACCGAACTTTCGTCGACCGACCTCCGACTCTGCCTCAGACATAGAATCCTCTCCATGGAGTTCACGATTGAGTTGGCGAAGCTCCGCATCATTCTGTTCTTTGCGGGCGGCGTCGGCGTTTTTCATGAATTTCATTTCGAAAAGGTCGGCATGAGGCCCCTTCACGCTCTCCCCAGCATCATTACTACCCTCGAGGGCCTTGAGCTTCTTCTGGATCTTTTGTCTTTCCACATCAGAACCCTCCTCGTTCCAAGGGTCCTCCTCTTCTGACTCGGAGCTGGAAGAGCCTAAGTAGTCATCATCTCCATTAGAAACACGCTTGCCTTCGATTCTCTTCCGTAGCTCCTCCTCTCTTTGGGCCAAATCGGCTGCACTGTTGCGGGCCTCTTCGTCCCAAGCAGTGCGACCGGTCTGTTTCAAGCCCTTGGCCCATTTGCTCTCACGATGCTTGGAGCCCATGCGAGCTTCGGCTCGCAAACGCTCGTTCTTCTCCTGGTCCATGTCGTCCATATCCACGCCGGCTTCCATGAGCGCATCGTGCTCCTGCTTCTCCATCTTCTCGCGCTCTTTGCGGTGAACACGGCGATAAGACTTGCTCTTGATCTTCTTAATGCGCTTTGCGCGAACCTCTTCTCGGAAAAGTAGGTCACGTCGCTTGCGGAGTTCTGCGCGACGGGCCTGGATCTCCTCAATAGGAATATTGCGGGCTTGTAATTCTTCGAAACTCTGGATCTGGTCCTCGGCTGTCTTGCCTTCAGCCTCAGCCAGCCCACTCTCCACGAGGATGTTCTGGATGGCGTTTTCGAGGTCTGTCTGCGGCTTCGCAGATTCCAAACGGTGAGTCTGCTCAGCATCAGGATCACGTAGCGGGAAGGAAAGGTGTTCGGCTCTGCGGTTGGCCTTGACGGTCTCGAGCCAGCGGTTCAAAGTCTCCTTGCTCTTCTCGTAGGCAGCAGTCCGGTCAAGTCGGTCCTGTTGGCGTTTAGCTAGAGGGGCATCTAGCTTGCCTGGAATGCCCGATTTTGATGCCTGGACAACAGAGTCGATGTGTTTGAGCGAATTCTTGAGGCGAGAGTCGGTGATTGAGGGTAGGAGATCGGCGACGGTCAATTTGTTGGCGGATGTCAATCCGTATTCCGAGTGCTTGCCTTGTTCTTGTGACTTTTGAGTACGTTTCGTAGGTTTTTCGGTTTCCATAGACTGGACAAAGTCTTGTAGTTTTGAAAGTCCGTGAGGATCAGCATCGGCATCGTCGTCTGAGATAGAAAGCCCGTCGTCGCTGGCATCGCTTTCACTGTCCCCCTCTGACCCAGAATCCTCGTCGCTATCATATTTCGCAGCCCGCTTGGCTTTCGCAGCAGCTTCCTGGGCCTCCTCCTCCTCAGCCGCTATATTCATATCCCAGGCGGTGGCAAGGTCAACAGCGTCTTCTCCTAGGTCATCGTCCTCGTCGTAGTCTTCACCGTCGGATTCTTCGTCCGACTCGTCGACATCCTCAGACAAGCTGATCTCTGTAGGCTTCTTTGGCTTGGGTGCCGCTTTCTTCGGCTGGGATTTGGACTTGGATGCGCGGAAAGTGAAGCCCTCGAATCGCTCTTCGTCGCTCTCACCGAGAGCTTCGTCACTGTCCAATTCGCTGTCGTTGTCGCTGTTCACTTGTCCGAGCGTCCATTCGTGTCCCTCACTGTCGCTGCCACCATCGAGGCTTCCGGTGTCCTCGGTTCTGCGGCGTTTGTAGTGGGCGGCGGGATCCTCCTCATCCTCGTCGTCATCGCCGGTGTTTCTCTTGCCCTTGAAGGTACCATCATCGTAGGCTCCAAGACGACTGCGCTTAACACCCAATTTAGTGTGAATTGTTTTCTCTGCGATAGACAGTGCATTCAGCGACCGAGTGCTTTTCCGCTTCGGCGCTGCTTTCTGCGTAGAGCGGTCTTTCGGACCCTGCCGTTGAGTTTGGCTGCGAGGCATAGTGGCGGAGTCAAAGAAATTAGATTCTTGACTAAGAAAAAAGCTTCAGATCAGTACTAAAAAAGTACCAAATGATCTGATGGCTGCTTTCAAGAGGGGTGTAGATGGTGTTGAACTTTTTTTCTGGCAGAAAAAAAGTTCTCGGCGCGGAGATTAGCGCGACCCGTTCATTCGTCGAGTTTTGTCTCCCAACTCCCTCCGGGACAACTCGACTTGCTCTATCCCCCTTCTGTTCCAACTTCAAGGCTACAGAACTGTCGCTATAATGAAGCCCACACAGCCAATGATGGTGCGCTTGCGCTTGACCACCAAGCAGGTCAATGGTGGCTATTACAAGGGAAACCGGACCGGCTCCATGGGTCACTTCGACAAGAGAGGCACATACAGGCCTGATTTGTCAAAGCACCGTGTTTATATGCCCGCGGAAAAGCTCGAAATTCCTGGGTGGACTTACACCTCCGAGACTGCGAAGGAGCCATTCACGGTGAGCATTGGACCCCATTTGATACCAGTTGGAAATGTCGGATGCTAACATGGGTATAGCTCGGCCCCTTCGTCACAAAACACATGGGCAAGACACCGTCGAACTACGTTCAAGACATTGAGAGAAATGGCCGACGAGTTACCGTGATCAGAGGATTTGAGGGCAACGACTATTTGGAGAAGTGGGCCGAGACCGCCGAAGCCGAAGAGGCCCGACTACAACCCGCACCACAGAATATCAAGACGATTGGGACCAAGGAGACACTGCAGACCGAGAAGATTGAGCAGATTCAGAACCAAGAGCCGGCCCGAACGCCTGAGACGCCTCGGGCCAAGCGCAGCAAGTTCCTTTTCTAGAAATTCCAAAAGACTGAAACCGCATAGCGGGGATTGTCTATGTGTTTTCAACTGCATGTGAGTGTGCAGCAGTTCAGGCGCATACAAATACTCTCTAATCTTTATGCCAGCTACCCAGCATACCATCCACAACCGCCTTCGCTGGGCATCACTCAACTCGTTGATCAACCTTCTCTCCGCTGGTTGATTGAATATATCCCATGTATTATAGTCTCTACAACATCAACTTGATTCGGACCACGGAAGACCTCGGTGCATCGGTAGACGT